CAACCGTGACCTCGCATTGTCGGCCCATGTTCATCTTGGAGTCAATAATGACTCCAAGATCCCTTTCTGCCTCCGTGCTCTCAAGAAGGGAGTTTCCCATTCTATAAGTGTGCTGCTGGTTTCTACTGCCTAGGTGCAGCACCCTGCACTTGTCAGTATTGAAACGCATCCTGTTTTTGCTAGCCCACTCCTGTAACCTATCCAGATCTTGCTGCAATCTTTCCCTCCCTACTAGCGTGCTCACCTCACCCCAAATTTTGGTATCATCAGCGAATTTAAACACGGTGCTTTTCACCCTGTCGTCCAAATCGCTGATGAAGAAATTGAACAGCGCAGGCCCAAGGACCAAGCCCTGGGGGACTCCGCTGCCCACTTCCCCCCAGGTTGAATATGACCCGTCCACCCCCACCCTCTGAGTACGACCCTTGAGCCAATCTACAATCCATCTGACTGTGTAGGCATCAATGCCACAGTTGCCTAGTAAATTAGGCTAATGCGTGGTTTCCTAGTATCAAGAAATACAGGTACTAGATTAACTGTGCAGTAACACACATGTAGACAGCTGACCAGGAGTAAATTGTTCCCAGACGGCCTAGATAGACGGGGACAGATGGGAACTGTCTCACTTGTGAGGCAGCTCCCAACCAGCCCTACACCAAGCCCTGATCTGCATGGGGCTGGCAGGAAGCTGTCCTCCAGAAGTGGAACAGCTCCCCATCCTAGCCCAGGCCTGACCCGTGCCCTCTGCCAGCCTGGAGCTTCCCCGGGCTGCTGCAGGGAGGCAGAGCAGAGCTGGAGCAGCCCTGCACTGGATTGCTCCCATCAGGTGCAAATTTGATTCTGATGGGAGAACACAGACACGTTCTCAGCCACATGTTCATGTACCTTAAAATACTGTGCAGTAACCTTAATGCACATTAATTGCACATGTAGACACACCCTAGTTGGAATAGATTTTGGTCCCAAGTGGAATAAATTAATTCTGTTTTCTAGCATGCAGAGATGACAGTTGAAATCATATAGCAAGGTTATACAACATCTCCCTCTATTTAGCCATAATGTTGTTTAGTCATTGATTTACTTTTCAGAAGACACAATGTCATCCAAAAACATTATTTTACTGAAGGAAAAAAAGAGTTCTCATTTTTTTTAGTTCTCAGTCCTTCAGCTCAAATACAAGACCACCTATCATCTCACCTAGAGTACAGGCAAACTATATTTAATGCTGCCATGTACTGTTTGTTAGTCTTAACATTATATTAGTCCTGCAGTTTTGTTTGAGCTGTGATGGTCCAGGGCATGTGTGAGAAGTAAATTTTATTTGTTAATAACTTTTATTGGACTAACAGTATAATTGAGAGATGTTACTGAATCTTTCAGGCACAAAATGCCCTTCTTCATGTCTCCCAACTATATAGTTGATCCAAAAAATGATATTACTAAAGAAATATTGCTAGCATAAGAGATTTAATTTTCTAGCTTTGAGCCTGAATAGGTTGCAGAGCCAAATTCTGTAGAATATGGCCAGTGAACCTTAATATTACTATACCAAATGGAGATTTTCCTTTAGCTCAATTTTCAGAGGAGTCTATATTTTGAAGCTGGAGGTGCCAAAACTAGAAGAACTGAATTAAATCCTCAGTGCTAGCCTGAGTGTCTACTCATGTGCAGCTACTGAATCATGACATGCTGGTGGGCCTGTTATCAAAACTGAGAGTTTAGTCTGAATGTTATCTTCCTCTTCAATAATTATAATCTAATGTGTTGTATCAAATTTCCCTTAGACCCAGAGTCTGCTTTAGAGATATTGTATAACATGACTGTAGTGTTTTTAGAAAATATATAATTTCATAATAAGACAACAGCATGCAGCAGCTGTACGGAACTGTTCATTCAGAAATCTCAAAGCCATTGCTGTTACCCTTCTTATATAATTATGTAATTTATAATCTTACATTTTCAAAACTTTATCTAGAATGCAGTCAATTAGCTGTTGAGTTACTACTAAAGTCACCAGGAGTACTTTGGCAAGAATGTCAGTGTTTCAAATGCCAAGAAAAATGTTTTATTAGATACTACTTGAATATGGTTCTGAAAGCTTTTCCAGTACTGCAAAGGTTCTTGTACATTAGAAAACTCTTCACTTAAAGAATGACAGTAAATCCAGTAAAGTGAAATGTTTTAATTCTCTTGTAAATGTGCATTTGAAGTCAGTACAAGTCTGTGTAAGGCATTCTCATAGGTGAAAAGCAACCAACATTCTTTCCAGCCTATGAAGATTTGAGGCAACTGCATGTGCATAAAAATATAACCTAATCTATAAACAATGAAATAAGATATTTTGTTTTTGAACGCATTATGATGTAATATCATTTTTGTACCATGACACTACCTCAAAGTAAATATTGGCACTGTAAATGATTTTTGATCGCATTGAGGCTTGTATTCTCTTCATATCCCAGTAAAAAATAAACTCTTTAATAAATAAATATATAAAATAAATATATGCAATCTGAAGATGTATAAATAGGTCCATCCTGAAGAAAAGTTCCAGCTCTGACTGAGATGCACTGACTTCCGAGTTCCATCACTAGCAGTAGAGCACTTCACCTTCATGTACAGTTCTCAGGATTTATCACTATTTTACAGTTTATTCCTTACTGTTTCTTCCAACTTCTTGTCTATTGTCCAACTCCATATGATTTAGGTAGTCAATTTTGCTTTAGTTTATGGATAATAAGTAATCCAGAGAAGCTAGGCACTAGTTTGGTATTTTAAAATAAATGGGATTCAAACTTTCCACTGCCTACTGGCCAGCACAAGTGTCAGCAAACTTAGAAGAGGCTTGTTCCATCCTAAACATTAAGGCTTTGTCTCCTACATCCAATTATTAAAAAATGGAGGCTTGGCTACCACTAAGACAGCTTCTTCAAATCCAGTCTCCTAGAGCCTTGAATGTTCTTCATGACTGTGTTACCATGGAAGCTGTGGTAAGACAGAACAGGTTTTGGTTTTGTTTCCTTTTGAATACATATCCCATTTAACTGTATCCTAATACATCTTTATAGAGCTCTGGAACTCTCTCTGGATCCACTGGCCTCGGTAGAAAGTGTGTGAATTTCTGGTGTCTTTTGGATCGTGCCCCATCTCTGGGAGTACCATCTTTGTTAAGTGCTACAAAGTATCGCCGACCCGAGTCTCCATGCTTGTACACATTGGAGGAGTAAGTATTATACCAATTTTCTTCAAACTGTTCCCTGAAGATGCATTCAGGACTTAGTTTCTCCTAGAAAATGAAAGAAATATAAAAATAAAACATCAGAGCCCTTTCAGTAACTAATGACAAAGTTTCTCAGAATATTCCAATACAGGGACACACTGATAATCAAACTGAGCTGGACTTTATGTTCATTTTTTGTTCAGCCATTCCGTAATACAATCAACCCAAGGAGGATGGTAAAGGTGTCCCTGTTTGCTGCATGTGGATTGGTTTACAGCAGCAGAGAAACTTTAAGCACACAAGGTCAAATTTCTCTTTTATCAGTACTCAAACTGCACTAGATCATGCATAATTTTGGACCGAAGTCCCATTAAGGTAGTATTGTTGAAGGTATTAGTCATGCATGATTAAATTAAAACTTACATCTCCAGTATCTATAAAACCCTAGAAAGACCATACTTTGGATGGTGCCTAAGATTTGGGCAATGGACATATGGGCAGAAGTAAAATGAAAGACATGAGGATATATTCTCAAGTGCTCTTCTTTAAGCAGTAAAAAAAATAACACTTTAGGTTACTATAAGAATAGATATGGCGAGCAAATATATCTAGTATAAAACGGATTATACCTCCCTGTAGGATATTATCATGGTGGTCCATGTACATTTGTACATAAATAGTGTGGACAAAAGTACAATTTGACATATGAAAAAGGTATTACAATTGAAGCTCGGAAAGTAACTTTAGAATTTTTCTGGTATGCCTGAAGTTACTTTCCCAGCTCCAATTTTAATTCTTATGATTAATTTAATCAAATGCCAGTCCATCTAAACCAGAGATGTCAAACTCACTCTGGGCCCCAGGTTGGATCTGGAAGTCAGGGGTTCTCCAGGGTCAGATCTGAGAGGCCACAGTCAGGCAGAAGCACAGAGCCAAGTTAGGGTGGCAGTCTGGGTCTGCGGCCAGGTGGCAGCAGGAAGCCACAACTGGGTGGCAAAACAGGTCTGGTGGTAGACAGCAGCACATCCCCCAAGAACATGTAGTTGCATAGATCTAGAGGCATGCAGCAGTGCAGGGCTGCATTTGAGCAGCAGCACAGATCTAGGGGGCTGTTCATGATAGTCCTATCATCCGCTGGGGTCCGGGGACCCTGAATTCTGCAGCCGACCACGCCCCCAACTTCCAGTAGCCGCAGGCCGTATGTTTGATGCCCTAACCTAAATCCCTCCAGTCATACAAAATGTTTGAGGCCCAAAACAAATAGTACAGGACAATGATGATTTATGATGTGAGCCACAAATAATGGTAATTCATGTATTTTTTTTTCCTTTTGGTTTAGAAAATGTTAAGCATTTGCAGTGTATTATAAGAAGCAGGCATGGTGATGATACAAATCAATCTTTTTGAGCAAGGATTGGAACAAATGTGTTAGGCTTGAAACTGGTGTTGGAGTACAAGTTTTATTATCCCAAGATAGTGGAGGAAGAAAGGATGACACAGAGTGTTATTACTTTCAAAGGTCTGAAAATACCCTGAAATATTTCTGATAACATATTAAGCGTGATAGATTTGTAGAGTTGGCATTAAATAGAAAATCTGCTACTAAGTCACTTTAGTGACTTCTAAGATGTTTTTAAGACTAGTTACTTTAATTTATTTTTTATGTATTTTATTAGGAGGAATATTTCTATGTAATTTTCTTCTTTTTTAAGCTTACAAAAATGTTCTCCGTGTGTAATATTTGACTCAACACTCTAAAGGTTTGAGGATGATGGAATGACAAAAATGATATGCATCATTTTAGCTGGAAAGAAAGTCAGCATATTTCACCTTTTTCAGTGATTTTCTAAGGGCGGGGGGGTGTTGCCAACTGTTAATAAATGAATCGTATTATGCCTAAAACCAAAATGTGGATTGGCTGATGTGAAGACAGTACTTACAGATCCATAGAGTTCTCCCTTTTCATTCATTCCGAGGTAAAGGCCACTGTCCACACCTCTAATACTGACCAGTCCCACTGCCACACTCATGAATTCAAGGATACCTGAATGCACACAAAAGGAGGAGGACTGGGTTAAGACACTGGTCAGTTAAAATCAGAAATATACCAAAATATAGATAGAAGCAGATGAGGCTATTTGTTTAATACATTATAGTAAATGTGGCCTCCTTTCTTTCTGAGACAATGCTCTTATTTATCATTTCAAACACTGACCTGAATTTCATACAAACTTTATTTCAAGGCACTCTCTGAAGCCTCCATAAAGAAATGTTATTTTCAGGAACATTTGTTAAGGCTTGGTTAAGAACAATTTTTTTTCTGTCACTGATGGGTTAAAGAATTTAATACTAGATGATTATACTCTTTTTTGCCAAGGTCCCTTTTCATGCATTGGTTTGAACTGTCTAAAAATATACTTCACTTTCTCTGCAGAATGATCTTAGAAAAAAATCCAGGTTAAAATCCCTTTTAACTAATAATATTATAATGCAAAAGTCAGACTAATAGTATCATGTAAATGGACATAAAAGTACAGATGGGAATGTCATACCAGATAATCTTCCCATAGCATAAAAGCATATTTGCCATGTATTTCATGCAAACCCAGCTCCTGTAATTTCCTATGTAGCCTTGTAAGTGTAAAAATTATGGTGCATGTACATTCTATATTTAAAAATTGCAAAATGTTTGCTATGTATGGAATGTAGTTGCTATTTGAATTGGAAGACAAGTTATATGAAATTATTTCCAAAATACATGGCATTCATATTTAATTATTAATTGATGCAATGTGATATTTCAGTATTTAGATTACAACATACTCTTAGTGACAGAGCATTTCACCAAATACTTGGGTTACAAAAAGGACCCAAATTACTTGTATACTCTACAGAAGAGAAGGAAAGGGAAGGAATGAATTGTCTTCTGTAAAGCTTCTAACGATGTAAACAAAAAATCCCCAAGCAAAGTTTGATTCATACCTGACATTTTACTGTGCAACAGTAAAAACACAAACCTTCCAAACAGATGTGAAGGCATGGAAAGTTCTTTAAAATAGTTTTGTACCTATCATTTTAATCATACTTTTTGCCTCTTTAAATTTTAATTGAGTTTTGACGGATCTATTATGCTAAGTGGCCAACAAAATAAATTCTCTAGAAGTAGACATTAACAACTGTCTGCTTGCTATAAATCATCACAGATTTTCTGGTTCCTAATGTTAAAGATCTATTTAAAAGAGACACGGAGAGAGAGAGAAACAGAAAAAGAAAAGATGTGGAGGTATTTTGTCTTTCTAGTATCATTTTCAAAGCCATCCTTTTTAAAAAGCTATAATAGCAGGTGATTCAACCCACAAAGAGACCACATCAGACAAACCTGTAGAGAACAGTGATAGAATAAAGGAAGAGCACGTGAATGTTTGATCTGAGACTGAACTTTTTTGTTTCTTTTTGAGTGATGATTTATTTCATGTTTACATGCTGGAGGAAGTCTCCCTTCTGTGAAGAACTTGCTGTTCAACTACAGTTCTCTCAGTTCTGAAAACATCAGCACTTCAACATGTTATAAAGAAATCATTTGCAAGCTATTCCAGCCAATTGTTTTGACTATGGGAAGGGTGGCAGAGAACACTGTAATCACCTTTCTTAGGGCTGCTAAATCAATACACAGAAAAAGCCCTCTGGTGATCCACAACAACAGGCTTGTTCAGATAAGGCAGCAGTGCCCACATGCATCCCTCCCATTGCCTGAAGAAGGGTGTTCGTGCCTGAAAAGCTTGCAAAGAACCATTTTTCCAACAGTTTAGGTGGTCTCTTAGAAGAGATTACATCTACCCAAAGAACCTTCCCTGCCTGTGTCCTTAGATCAACACAGCTACAACCAGCAACCTTCTCATTTACTCCTAACAGGTCAGGAAACTGTTCCCAGGCTTGGGGGATGCTCTCCACCAGCCCCTTCCCTTTGGCTTTGCAGGCAAAGTACCATACCTTCACATCTGTTCAGAGGGGCTGTGTTTTTACTCCTGCACAGTCGAATGTGAGGTATGAACCAAATTCAAGTTTGCTTGGGGACATTTTGTTGACATGATTAGCAGTCTCAAAGAAGACAATTCATACATCCCCTTCCCTTTGCTCTTGTAGGGTGTTCAAGTAATTTGGGTCCTTTCCGTAACCCAAGTATTTGGTCCTTTCTGTAACCCAAGTATTTGGTCCAAGGCTCGGGCACTAGGAGCCTGATGTCACCTAAATATTGAAATATCACATGGCATCAACTACTAATTAAAGACGAGTGCCACGCATTTTAGAAATACTCCCTATAACTTGTCTCCCAGTTCAGGGAAGAACCGTGCCCTCCTACGGCCCCAGCTGTAAACAGCCCCGAGGCTGCGCAGGGTTCCGGCTCCCAGCTTGCTTCCTGGACACGGGGGAGCGCTGATCGCCAGAGCCGCACCGGGGTGGCCCCGGCGCACGTGTGCCCACGCGCTGCCGGCGCGCTCCATCCCTGCCCGCTCTCACTGGCGGCCGGGGGCCG